GTTGAGGGGACAGAAAAAATCTTGAATACCATTAAACAAGAGAGTGGCCAACACATTGATAGTTATTCCAGAATAGAAAATGCTTAGATGTACTCATAGCTAGTTGCCTAGTTTAGATTTGGGTTTGGGTGCGCAAGGCCGAGAGAAGAAAATATACATGGTGAAAAATACTTTATGAAGTCTTTTGCATTCACTTCAATACATTGCTACAATAATGGTATAGGCTCTACAGATGCCAATGGTCAAAAAGATACATATCTTAAAGCTTACAAAAAGTTTCAATTTCATAAATATAGTGAAACATTTGGCTGGATTATATAAATCATATAATGACAGAAAGCCACTTATTTGATCACAAGATGTACAAAATAATTACAACAGAATAATCTTAGGTATGTGTGTGATGATATATACGACATATAGATATAGAGAGAGCATTGTAGATAGCCAAGATTGAACGTAAGCTCGTAAAAGGTGACAAAGGACATCGTGTCCCTAAACTCCAACAACAGGTTTAGTGTGTGTTTGGTTTCAATTTTGAAACTCAATTTTTTTGTCTCTCTCCACGTCCAAGTAGCAATTTAAGGAGAAGCTATTATTTTCTCCTTCCAGTCAAACGTGAAAAATCACGTTTTGACGTTGTTCCAAACACACAGTTAGTACATCCAAGATAAGTCTTGCCTGAAAGACACTGATTTAGCAGCTCCTTGGACACCTCTTTCCGAAATTTGAGGACAATCTTCAATGGCCAAGGAATCCAACTTCAATGATCCAACAAGTGGCTTTAATCCATCATCAGAGATCCCCAAACACTTGCTTAACCGCAGAATGCACAATCTAGGAAACTGACTCACAAGCTGTAGCCCTTCATCACTAATCTCTTGGCACCTCACCAGCTCAAGCGATTCGAGATACTCTGCAGCGCAGAGAGCTTCCATTCCAACATCATTGAAGGAATAAACATGATCAAGCGCAAGCTGGCGAACCGGGCACCTTTGAATCAAACAAAGTATCCCACTTAATGTGAATGAGGAGGATGAGGGGAACTCCCCATCAGAAAAAGATATCCTCACTGATTCAAGCTTGGAGCAGTTTTGAGCCAAGGCTTTGAGACTCTCATCAGTCAATCTCAAAGGATTATTCACCAAGGAGGGAAGTGAAAAATCAGATGGAACTCGAACTGAAACCGATCGAAGGCCACTTGATCTCTGAGACAAACATATAATGTCAAAGTCCCTCACCCCAACACACATGTCTAAGTGAATTTTCTCCAAGTTCTTGCACTTCCTCAACACACAAGCAAGCCCTCTCCCAGGACTAATGATGCAATTCACCAAGCTAAGTTCGTGCATATTCTCACAAGGGACATGCTGCTTCTGCCACCTATCCACAGACAACCGATCATAAACCTTCATGTATCGGTAATTTGCGTCGACCTCGAACTGCAACCTCCTGAGTTTGTGCCAGCCATGGCCAAGCTTAATCAAGTCCCCTTCACCAATGGCCCTGCAATTCTTAATGGAGAGATCCTCAAGAGTTCCAAGCTTGCCAAGGTATTCAAGCCACTCCACACTGCTCACATTAAGGCACCTAATAAGGTGAAGCCTGGAAAGGTTCTTACAACCCACAACAAGGGAGAGAATGCCACAGCCAGTGATCCTTGGAGTGAAATTCAGCCTCAGAGATGATAACTTGGTGGAAGAAGCCAAGTAACGGAGACCAACATCAGTGATAAATGTGCAGTAGCTCAATGAGAGATCGCAGAGTAAAGGGCAGTGATTTGCAAGAATAAAAAGACCCTTATCATCCAATTGTTTGCCCAGTTTGGACATCCATCCAGAGTATGTAATCTCCACTTTGGACAAATTCTGAAACCTTATGCATAGACAGGTCAAAGCTTCATCCGCAGGATCCATTCCACACCCAACCCTTATACAATGCCTCTGTGCATTGTCCAAATAATAAAGGCGTTTACAAGCAAGAGAAACAGCGTTTCTGTCGCTTGTTTTCTTTATCCTGCTCAATATCTCCCATACTATATGCTCTGGTATATTATCCATCTGCAAAATTTTTAAAAAAGAATAACAATGTAAAATTCTCATTTCATACTCATGTATACTATACTAGTGACCAAAATTTAAAATTGGAACAATCCAACATAGGATACATATCATGTGTGTCGGTTATCTATTGCCCAGAAGAAGAAACACAATTAAAAATTGAATAAATGTAATAAATAGGTTAGATCTGACTGAAATTTGAACGGGGTGAAGGTAAAGGATGGATTTTGTGATGGTTAATTAATTGGAATTGGGATTGGAAAAAGCAGAATAAGGAACGCGAGGAGGGTATTGAATGAGGTGTGAAATTGAAATTGAAATTGAAATTGAAATTGAGAAAGAAGGAAGTGTGATGGATCCATTGCCTACCTGTTGCTCTTCACAACGACGAAGGAACCAAACAATATTTTCTTTACATATGCCTATGATTATGAACAATGGAATGATAGATAGCAATAAGTTAGATATTTTTGTCGATTCTTCTGGGATATTTTCTTTGTCAAGGCCCAAAATAATAAAGCCTATTCCATTTTGGGCTTGAATTCAAACAGTAGAGCCCACTAGCTTCTTTTCTAAAATAAAACAACTCCAACCGAGGTTTGACCAGCTTTGAACATAATTTCAATTTTCAACGAGTGCATACATTACTGCATATTCCACCTTCTAAAATGAGGATCAACAAGTGCTCAGAAAAAGTATATAACACATGGACAAATGATATTACAAAAATGTTTTTACAAATTAAATCTAATTAGTATTTTATTGAAATGTTTATTATATAAATAAATTATATATAAATATCATGTTTGAATATAAATTATATATAAAAGGACCCAACCAAACAAATAGGACCACCGACCACATCATGGCTGAGAGAAAAAGGAGACAAGGCCTTTTGTTCAACTGTCTTACCATTTCGGAATTATGCTCTCTACATTACCATAATTGCTCAGCTAAATCTACACCAATATATTTTTCATCAAATACATTAAGATTCCAATGTTGTTCATACTTAATTTGTTTATCATATGTGCAAGGAGGAACATTATTAATATAATTTTGCAAAATTAATAGCAGATGGGTGAGAAATTCAAGGTAAGTGTGGAGGATCTAGTCAAAATCAACCGAATCTATTGCTTTTGGTTTTTATACGATTATAGCACTCTACTGTTCTACGCCAACTCTGTGCTTCCTTTGATTTCTCATATGTCCACGTCTAAGACTTGCTTAGTTAAATCAATGATGAACCATTATTTATACATATATTTTATTTTCTATCCAAATCAAATTTTCTCATTTTAATATATATGCAAATCTTATACTATTTCTAGCGATTATTATAAGACTCGAAATTTTAAATTATTTTGATTCTTTATAAATGTATTTATTGACTTTGAAAAATGAATAAAATTTATTTAATTCATATTTTATTAAATACAAATAGTCTCATTTTTTAAAATGAAAAAACTTTTGAAACATTTATTAAGAGTATGTTTGGGACAGCGTATAATCTCCACTTTAGTTATTTTTTAGGAAAAAATTTGTTTATAGAATAAGTTTTATGTTTGGCACTTCGACTTAAAGTTGTAAACAACTTTTTTTTAAAAAAAAATTGAGTTATTTTAATGAAATTTATGATTATTTTTCATCATTTTGTCTCTTTTAAGTTGATTTACTACATCAAAATTGATTACTATGTTGTACTCGGACGAAATTAAACATCTAAAAAATAATTTTTAGCAAATTTATCTGTTCTTACCGGAATTTGACCGTAGGGGTGATCCGTCCAGTCGGTGAGCCTCCTTTGCTTGATGTATTGGTGCTCCAAGATGGGGGAGGTAACTGCAAAAGAGACTCTGATGCCAAAGTTAGAGTTTGTATGAGTAATAGTCTCGTATAAGTAATGCACGTACCTTGGAGTGAATTAGGTTTGCTTTGGGCTCTGGGCCTGAGATAAGATATGATAGCGGATCTCGTCTGGGGCGAGATCCTCGGTAATCAGTGATTAGATAATGGATCTCGTATGGGCAACTGAGATGCCGAGCTTGGAGCTCGGCTTCGCCGTACGGTCTGTACACTAGCCCCCCGAGCTCCGAAGACCGTAGGTCGAGGAGTTAAGACCGAGCTCGCCAGGGGGAAGTGACCCTTCGCGTATGTCCGCCTGTCGAGATGCCATGCGTGCAAAAGTCGTTTCGTATTTCGAAACGCGAGGTCGGCGCGTTAGTGGTCATGATGATTATGCAATGATGGCTTTCTCTATCATAATGGGTCTCACTTAATCCGTGGTCAGGCGTGTCCCTTGGGTGACACGTGTCATGACCGTTTTGAAATTCTGGGGGAGAGTTTTTTCTTTTCTTTCACTCGCGCCTCTTGGCCTTTTTCACTTTGCTCTTTTCCATTATTGTGGCTTCTTGTGCACGATGTTGCTCTCGCTTTCGTCCATTCTCCGTCTCCATTTCAGTCACCGTTTCCGGTAACCCCTTCGTTGTTAGGGTTATTTTCTGAAGAGGAGTATCAGGTACTTCCTTTTTACTGTCTTCTTTTCTCTTCTTCCCGGTTTTTCTTCGAGTCTTTCTTTTCTTTTTCATGGCTGGGGGGAGTAGTGCCGGTTCTTCTGCGCCTTCTCAGGGTAAGGCGTGTGGTAAGGCGGTGGCTGTCGGGAAGGCTACCGCCGAAAAGAGGGATCTGCCCCGGGGCCCGGAGCCAGGTATTCCTGGTTATGACTGGGTCAAGTGTGAGATGGCGGGGGTCCAAAGCGTCTTTCGGACCTTTCTTGATGTTAATAGGATCTCTAGGTCGTGTAGGGTTTGTGACCCTTCTATCTCCCATATGATTCGGTTTGAGCCTTGTCAGGCCGATGAGGGCGTGTACATGGGGAAGTCTACTGACCCTCCCCATTTCTATATGTACCTAAGCTTTTTTAGGGATTTAGGTGTCTGCCTTCCCTTCACCCAATTTGAGTGCGATTTTTTGAACTTCATCAACTCGGCTCCTTGCCAGTTGCACCCCAATAGCTGGGGTTTTTTGAGGGCTTTTCAAGTCCTGTGTACAGTGTTGGGGATAGAGGTGTCTCTTCGCGTCTTTCTTCATTTTTATCAACTGAAGCTAGGCGCTCCGCCTTATGGTATTTTGTCTTTGAATGGGAGTAGGGATGGGGGTTTGTTTACTCTCTACTCCCAATCATATAAAAACTTCAAACAGGAGTTCTTCCGGGTTGCCCTTGTGGGTATTCACCCCTTGGAGGATGAGGTGTTCCACTTCGGCGGCTTGCCGAAGTTTCCTTTTTACTGGTCTTCCAAACCGTCTAGGTTTCATGGTTTGGGTAACCTGGAGGTGACGGCTTCGGAGGCAGCCGCCATCGAAAACCTTGTCGCGCTCCCTCGCCCGCTGGATTGCAAGCTCGTTCTGTCGCTTGCGAATTCGCCCTACAAGGAGAAGGGCTTAGAGAGTGAGTATTTCGTGTTTTGGTGGTTTGCTAGGGTTCGTGTAATTTCCTTTTGTTGATGTGTTTCCGTTTTTGTTTGCAGGTATTATGGGAAAAACTTGTGGCGCGAGCTTAAGCACCGCTACAACGTTGCTGAGCTCGAGGTTCCCGAGCCTCTGGAGGAGGATGTTACCCCCTTGAAGGCTAGTCGAAAGAGAAAGAGGGGGGGAAAGAGGCCGGGAGAACCTCGAGCCTCTGACTTTGTTTGGTTTATTGAGGCGGAGTGTATCCTTTCGCAGGTCAGGGTGACCGCTGCCGAGGTGGGAGACCAAGCTGCTGAGCGAGTTTCTCGAGTTGCCGAAGTGGTGAGTATCTTGTTTCTTGGGTTTTTCGTTAATACTTTTATTGTGCTTTCTGGTCGCTTGACCTGGGGCCGTTTTTTGCAGGCAGAAAATGCCCTGGAGGCGGCGACGCAGGCTGCCGAGCGGGTTGCCCAAGCTGTTGAGGTAGGTAGCGTTTGTTTGCTTGATTTTGTGGTTCCCCGTATGTCACCTGGTTTATTTTTGACATGGGGTTGATTTTCGCAGGCAAGGTCGGGGGTCCCCATTATGGACTTTCTAGATGCCGAGCAGGGGACGCCGACTTCCGTCGCTGCTGAGGCCCATGGAGGAGGCCCTAGTCATGAGGTTCCTTCGTCTGCGGCTGTCGCTTCGGCATCGCCTCTTGGCCCTTCGCAGGAGATTTCCCGGAGCCGATATCTGACTCACCGTTTCGGGAAGGGTCTTTCCAAAGTGCGGCTGGACCACATGAGCGCCTCCGCCGACATGGATTCGCTATGGAGCGCGGGGGTGATCGGGGAGAAGTTCTGTCCTCAGGGTTCGTTGAGCTCCGAGGACCAGGGGTTGATAGACGGGGCAGTCCCGAAGAGAGTTTTGATGCGGCCCAGGTCCTTCTGCAGAGGGTTATGGGCATATTGGGCCATTGGAAGCCCAAGTGGGGCCAACAGCGGGAGGATTTGGTCAAGCAACAAGAGGACCTGGCCAAGTTGAGGGGCCGGCTTCAACCCTGGAAGGAGGCAAACAAGATCCTGAGGGAAGAGAATAAAGCTCTTAGCGCAGCCCTTGATGAGGCGAAGCGGCACGAGGCTGAGCTCCGCTCTGCGCGTGGCGACCTTGCACGGGTGCAGAAGTCTCTTGAGATTGCGTTGCGATCCAATGAGGCTTATGCCTCTCAGGTGGGGGAGCTGCAGGAGCTCGTCGCCTTCAATCGAGGCCGTGCTCGCTCCCTGGAGGATGAGGTGACCTCTTCTTGTGGCCTAGTGCGGGCTCTAGAGGACGTTGTGACCTCCCTTAAGGGAGAGTTGGCGGCAGCGGCTGAGGAGCGCCTCCGTAGCGAGGTCATTCTTGGTGGCCGTGAGGACGAAATTGCCACCTTGAAGGCAGAGCTCGCGGAGCTGGGGGCGGGGAAGGTGGCTACGGACAAGAGGCTCGCGGAGGTCGAACGCTCTTTTGTGGTTGAGCACAAGAGGGCTTCCAAAAGGCTACTCGTCAGGCTCGGCTTCTTGCTCTTTCTGATGTTCTATCTTAGCCTTCTGACACACTAAACAGGCACTCACAAATTCATCTATGTCTTTCTTCATCCTAGGCCACCAAAATACCTTCCTAAGGTCTTGATACATCTTAGTTGATCCTCGATGAAAAGTAAGCTTGCTCCTATGACCTTCCTCTAGGATCAACCATCTAAGTGTAGGGTCATTAGGCATGCACACTCGGTCTCTAAATCTTAACACTCCATCTACACCCAAAGTAAATTCTCCTTCAATACCTTGTGCTATAGAATCACATCTAGCCACTAAAAACGAATCCATTAACTGTGCTTCTCCAATTTCCCTCAACAAATCACTAGTCACCTGAGTCATACCTAGTCTCACACTACTAGGGGTCACCTCACAAGTCAAACTCAAGTCTCTAAATTGAGCCAAAAGGTCCATCTCCATAATCATAAGAGAAGACAAATGCAAAGATTTCCTACTTAAAGCATCAGCCACCACATTGGCTTTCCCCGGATGATAACTAAGATCAAAATCATAGTCCTTAAGGAACTCTAACCATCTCATCTGCCTCATATTTAATTCCTTTTGGTCAAATAAATACAACCTTAGGCGCCCAAAATTTGAATTCAAAATTCAAATTTTGGAGCCAAACCCGGATACCACCCATGTGCACTTCATTTGGAATGTAATTTGTCATCCATTTGAGTTGCATTTCGGTCACACCATGTGCATGTGTGCACATGGCCGAAATGCATTCCAAATGCAAGGCTAATTACATTCTAATGAATATACACATGCAACCCTAATTAAACCCTAAATTCAAATGACCATGAAATGAAATTCCTAGTCTAAGTGGCCGAAATAAAAGGCCTAAAAGAAAATACAAGCCCTAAGGCCCAAACCTACACTACTCCTACTCTACTTGGGCTTGAATCAAAGCCCAACTAAAAAGTGTGATGGGCTTTCCTTGAGCTTGGGCCCACTCCTCTTGGATCCTCCTTGCCATAGATTTAGTAGTTGGGCCCTTGGCCCATGGGCCTCCTCCATCAACCAATAAATCGAGGAGTAAGTTTTCTAGATTTCAATGCCCTGCCAACCCCAGTTCATGGAGTGACTTTCAAGAACACATTGTCACCTTCTTGAAATTCCAAGTCCTTCCTCCTCTTGTCAGCATAACTTTTCTGTCTACTTTGAGCTGCTCTCATCCTCTCTTGTATCATCCTAACCTTATCGGTGGTTTGTTGCCCAATCTCAAGTCCTAAGATAACATTATCACCCGGCTCACACCAACACAAAAGGGGCCCTACACCTCCTACCATACAGTGCTTCATAAGGTGCCATACCTATACTAGAGTGATAACTATTATTATAGGTGAACTCTATTAAAGGTAAAAGACTATCCCAACTACCTCCTTGGTCCAACACACAGGCTCTAAGCAAATCCTCTAAGGGTTGGATAGTCCTCTCAGTTTGACCATTAGTTTGAGGGTGGTAAGCTAAAACTAAGTCTAAGTTGGGTCCCCAAAGCTAGTTGTAGGCTCTCCCAAACCCTAGAGGTGAATCTAGGGTCTTTGTTTGACACTATACTAGATGGTATCCCATGCAATCTCACAATCTCATCAATATACAGTCTAGCCAATCTCTCTAGAGAATACCTGATGTTAATAGGTAAGAAATGTGCATTCTTAGTCAAACTATCAACTATAACCCAAATGGAATCATGCCCTCTCACAATCCTAGGCAAAGAAACTACAAAGTCCACAGAAATGCTATCCCACTTCCATTCGGGTATACTCAAAGGCTGAAGTAGTTATGAAGGTTTCTGATGTTCTATCTTAGCCTTCTGACACACTAAACAGGCACTCACAAATTCATCTATGTCTTTCTTCATCCTAGGCCACCAAAATACCTTCCTAAGGTCTTGATACATCTTAGTTGATCCTCGATGAAAAGTAAGCTTGCTCCTATGACCTTCCTCTAGGATCAACCATCTAAGTGTAAGAACGTCAAGGTTCGTACTCGACCTCAGGTTTGAGATAGATTATTTAATTAGGGTTCACACTCGACCTTTAACGGAAGCATCGAGGTTCGTACTCAACCTCGAATTTGCTATTTGATTACGGTTCGGACTCGACCTTTAAAGAAAGCGTCGGGGTTCGTACTCGACCTCGGAGATGTCGAGATTCGGACTCGTCCTCAAATTTGAGATATGCTATTTAATTAAGGTTCGAACTCGACCTTTTAACGAGAGCGTCAAGGTTCGTACTCGACCTCGGAGATGTCGAGATTCGGACTCGTCCTCAAATTTGAGAGATGCTATTTAATTAAGGTTCGAACTCGACCTTTTAACGAGAGCGTCAAGGTTCGTACTCGACCTCGAATTTGCTATTTGATTACGATTCGGACTCGACCTTTAAAGAAAGCGTCGGGTTCGTACTCGACCTCGGAGATGTCAAGGTTCGGACTCGACCTCAAATTTGAGATATGTTATTTAATTAAGGTTCGAACTCGACCTTTTAACGAGAGCGTCAAGGTTCGTACTCGACCTCGGATTTCAGCGTTTGTACAGTTAGAGTTCGTTTTCGTCCTTTAGATAATCAGGAAAATAAGAATATGAGATGAGCGAAAGGAGTAGTTTTATTTATGGTGCTTGTGTGCCTCGTTAAAAACCCTCTCAGTCAAAGGCTGAGGCGGAAAAGAGTGCACAACTTTGTTCACACTGAAAGAAGGAGAGAGACTTAAAAACTTAAGGGGCTATGGTGGGGGGATTCCCCTTGCTTTGCTTGCTCGACGAGGAAGTCTTCAGGCTCTCGGCGTAGCATTGCCGAGCTGTTTTCTGATTAGCTTTGACGGAGATGACTTTACCGTCCTTGCCCGGGAACTTCATGGTGAGGTGTGGGGTTGACACTACCGCTCCGAGTTGGTTCAAGGTTGGCCTCCCGATGATGATGTTGTAGGAAGTGTTGGCTTCCACGAGGAGGTACCGGACCATGACCCGCCTTGTATCTGGTGGCGTTCCGAAAGTTGTCAGCAAGTCTACGTATCCCCGGGTGTGAACTCGCTCTCCTGCGAAGCCGACTAGGGGCTCCGTGTGAGGTTGAATGAGAGAGTGAGGGACGTCTAGTTTGAGGAACGTTGGCCAGTACAGGACGTCAGCCGAGCTTCCCTGGTCGATGAGTGTTTTCTGCACTTTCCAGTTGGCTATCTCCACAACGATGACCATGGGGTCGTCCTGGTTAGGGTTGACGCCGGCGTAGTCTTCGTCGGAGAAGGAGATCGGCGGTGAGCTTTGGTGCGGGGCCGAGGTGGTAGAGTGGACGCAGTTGATGTTCTGTAGGTGTCTTCTTCGGGCCGAGCTGCTGGCGCCTCCTCCCGCAAAACCACCTGCAATCGTGTTGATTATTCCCCGCAGGGGGGCTGAGTCTGTCTCTTGACTTATTTCGGCCTGTACCGCGCCATTAGAATTTTGCTGCGACCCTGTGGGTAAGTCTGTGCGAGCTCCTGACCCGCGACCTCTCCCGCGTCCTTAGCCTCTAGAGCCACCTCGGGAACCTGGCTGTCGCTGGATGTAGTGGCCGAGGTGGCCTTCCTGGATGAGTTCTTCGATGTGGTCCCGGAGCGTGCGGCACTTGTCAGTGGTGTGGCCGTAGTTCCTGTGGTACCGGCAGTGTTTGGACTTATCGGCGCTGTTGGGGGTGTGGCCGGGTGGTGGAAGGGCTAGTAGGTTATTGTTACTGGCTTCTTCCAGGATGTGGACTCTCGGGGCGTTTAGGGGAGTGTAGAAGTCATACCTCCCGCTTCTGTTGGCTCTGGCCGGCTTCTTGAATTGGCTGTCATTATTGACTTTTACCTTATCTTTGTGGCCCTGTTCCGGTTTTGCGGGGCCCTTCCCGCGAACTTGGTCGCGGAAGGCCGAGTGCTCTTCCATCTGAATGTAGCCGGCGGCGCGGGCACGCAGCTCATCCATGTCGCGGGGGGCGTCGCGGCATAGGCTGTCGACGAACGATCCGGGTTTCAGTGCCATGAGCATGGCGTGCAGGGCGACCTCCGGGTTTAGATTCCGGATCCGAACCGAGATGTTGGAGAAGCGCTCCATGAAAGCTCGCAGAGATTCATCATCGTTCTGCCTGAGGTTGGCCAAGGCGGCCGAGGTTGTGTGGTGAGGCCGGCTGGTGGCGTATTGTGCCATGAATCGCCGCATCAAGGTGGCAAAGCTGTCGATGGATCCGGCTGGTAGTTGGGTGTACCAATGAAGCGCGGGTCCCTTGAGTGAGGTCGGAAAAACCCTACACAATATAGCGTCGCTGTTAGTGTAAAGGTTTACCTGAGTTGTGTACGAGTCTATGTGCTCGTCGGGGTCCGTGGTGCCGTCGTAGCGGTCAAGGTGGAGGGGCTTCCACCCGCGGGGTAGCGGGGTCTCCATGATGCCATCCACAAAGGGATGACGGCGGAAGGGTTCTTGGCCCTCGGAGACGTGGGTGGGGGCCCTACTGGTACCCTGTCCTGTTCTGTGCGTTGATGCATGAGACTGGTGCGTGGCAGGTCGTGAAGTTGATGCCTTAGTCGTCGCTCGGGATTGGGAGGCTGAATGTGTCTCCTCCTCATGATCATCACTGTCGTGCGGAGGTTGATTGGAGTGATGTCGAGGGAGCTGGGCGCGGATGCGCTCATTCTCGGTGCGTAACGCTGCGAGGTCTGCTTCATTAGCGGTGCATTGCTGCGAGGTCATTCTCATGTTGGGCACGCATGTTCTGGAGGTCAGCGTTGTGATGTTGTCGCATCTGCTCGACTTGGTCGATCAGCCGCCTCAGGGTTGCAGCGTCGCTGTCCATGGTAGTTGAGTGGCTTGCGTCGTCTGCTGCTCGTTTGATGTGGCTTCTAGTAAAAACCATGCAGGTGGCCGATAAGAGTTGTCTTGATCGGCCCCACGGTGGGCGCCAAATGTTCTTACCGGAATTTGACCGTAGGGGTGATCCGTCCAGTAAGATCGGTGAGCCTCCTTTGCTTGATGTATTGGTGCTCCAAGATGGGGGAGGTAACTGCAAAAGAGACTCTGATGCCAAAGTTAGGGTTTGTATGAGTAATAGTCTCGTATAAGTAATGCACGTACCTTGGAGTGAATTAGGTTTGCTTTGGGCTCTGGGCCTGAGATAAGATATGATAGCGGATCTCGTCTGGGGCGAGATCCTCGGTAATCAGTGATTAGATAATGGATCTCGTATGGGCGAGATCCTCGGGAATCAGTTGTAATTCACCTGAATGCCGAGCTAACGTCGCACGACGCGTGCCCGAGATCATCTTGCACTGAGATGCCAAGCTTGGAGTTCGGCTTCGCGGTACGGTCAGTACATTATCTAAGCAAAATCTCATTAATTTAGTGATAGTTTTGAGGGAAAAAATTAAAAATTTAAAACATATTTATTGATCTAAAAAAGATTAGAAGGGTTGACTTAATGGCAAGAATTGAGATAAAATTTACAAGATTTTAGATTTGAATTTGTTGTAATCATAATATTGGATAAAATAAATTAACTTTTATTAGTCTTGGTAAATTAATTCAAATTTTATAATAAGGATTAGAGAAAGTAAGAAATAATTGTGGGATGTAATAAAATTAGGGAAGAAGTTAATTGAAAGTTACAAAATTAGTTGAAAAAAATGTTATATTTCTATTCATATGCATGTGTAGTTGAAAGACTTTGTGATTGACATACTCTCTCTAATCCATAATAACTACATTTTTATTAAAATGACCTACTCTTTCAATAAATATATTACTTTTAATGATGGTAGTTGAATAACTTTTTAAGAAAAATAATTGATATTATATTAAAAGTTTTTTTTACACCTCTACATTAGAAAAATTATAACATCATTTATTTTGTGATATTTTGTAAATATTAAATATGTAATAATTTGAAATTATTAAAGTAATAAATAAAATAAAGACAATGGAAAACTAAAAATATAAATGTGTTGGTTTGAGCTGCACTCGTTTTTATGTCCAAGACCGCTATAATTACACTTAAAACATTTAATTGTATAAAATCATATCTATTTTTTAAAAAACTTTGGTTCTTTTATGATTTCAACACATCCTAATATAACTTTTTCTTTCAATTATACTTTTATATGTAAGATTAATTTAAATATAGCATTATTTTTTACATTAATATAAATGAAATAGTTTACAATATGGTAGAAATTGTAAATTAATATATGAGGTTAATTTAGTTTAAATATATATAAATTAAATATTTTTAATATGTGTATAAAAACTTAGAAGTACTAAAGTTTTAGAATGCACTTAGGTAAAAAAAATACTTAATTTTTTTAGAGAAAAATATAAGTAAATTTCAATCAAGTTAATTTATTAAATATTTTCAATCTAAAATTATTTTTAAAATAATAAGTAAAAATATTATCTACGATAAATATAGTTAAAAATATTTTTAAAAATATCGTATATTTTTTTATATAAGATTATAAAAATTAAATGTACTTAATTAATAATTTATATTTTTATATATAGTAATAGTAATAGTTTTTGTTAAGAAGTCCTGAATCACGTTGAGCACGTGTAAGCCTTGACAGAATTTGCGGCGTGTTACTTATTTTGGATTTTAGCAAGGCAACGAGAATCACGTTTGCTTTCGAGCCTTTTCATCAATGAATGGTAGCATTTCAGTGGGGTCACATCAATGAATGCTGTTGTGATTAGGTATCCCTTAAACATATTCATCACTCTCTTAATAATTTTTTATACATAAATTAAGAATAACAATAAATATAACTAAGTGTGTGTTTGGATTTGCGTTTGAAGAATTGATTTATCAAAATCAATTTTCTGGACGCAGAAGCTATATTTTTCAGCTTCAACCAAAATCAATTTTCACCCTTAAAATCATGTGATGAAAAAAAATCCAAACATCCTTTCTACATGAGGAATCACGTTTTTGCACGAAAATACGCACGTTGAATCAATTCAACGCGTATCCAAACAGGCACTAAAATTTATAATTTTTAAGTCATCAAAATTCATAATAAATTAATATTTTTTGATACATAAATCATATCATAGTTAAAATTTATAATAGATATTACCTTTATATATTATTATATAAGATTATTTTTATTTATTGATAATTTATTTTAAAAATAAAAAATAATAAATTGTATAAGATAGGAAGTTAAAAAAATTATAAAAATATTTTCATTAAAGAAAATTAATTTAAAACACATTCGTTAAAAAATGATTCTTAAAAAAATTGTCGTTCAAGATAATTATTATACTTTATAAAAATAGAGAAATTAAAGTTTGAAATGTGAATTTTTCTTATATCTTTTCAATAACTATTAACATGCTTTTAATTGTTAAAAATATAAATGAGAAATTTTAGTTGAGGAACGTAATACTTTTTTATATAAAACTACGATTACCGTTATCTTTTTATGTGACCAACCAAATAATCGATGAACCGATCACCTGATTAGTCCAATTAAATCACAAAACTGACTTGAAAAATTGACAATAAACAAAAAAAAATTTAAAAATTGGTTAAAAAACAGAAAAACTGATCAATAATAACTCAAAATTCGATTTGTAGAAGGTCAACAAATTTTCAAAAAATAATATTTTAACTATCGAATTTTAAACGTACCTTCATCGCATCGGATGAAAGCAACGTTATCCGCCACGTAACTTCTCTCACACACGGTTGTGAGATTTTTCTATCTTTCGAAAAGAAGTTTACACTTTACAAATACAAAAGTATAAATGACTTTTGCAGCGTGGGGTCATGGACTTATATTTGTCCATAAAATATATATAAATAAATAAAAAGTTGAAGATCTTTCTTTCCTCACAAGGGTTATATACTTTTTTACTATTTTTTATTTTATTTTCATCTCTTTTTTGTATTATCTTTATTTTATCAAAATAAGATAATGTACACACATAAAAAATAAAATAAAATACTACTATCATCAAATCTCAAAAACATAAATCTTTTTAAAATTATTTGACCGTGTGACCAATTGACTTACAATTTTCATCGACAGATCGACTTACGTATATGATCCTCAATCTTATGCCTGGTATGGCTTGATACTTGAAAAGAAAAAATAAAAAAAGTTAACAGTTCACTGTCACCACAATTTCTTCATCATCATGATCGATGTTGTATACATAGTCACAATTACAAACCCAACGCCTTTATGCCATGTTCAATACCTGCTCTGTCTAATAATTGGAGTTTAGTTGTCTCTTATAATTATAGTGAATTATTTGGGATTTAGTTTTTAGTATATAATTATTTGACCAACTTTATAATGAAGTTGAGAACGAACCGGACCTAAATTAATTATGAAAACAAGCTTAACAAAAGCCATCCCAATTATTCACCATATATATGAACTCATTAAATATATTATCGCTTCTTAGTTATCATCGATCGATGTTTTCGTTTATGTTATAAACAAGAGCACGACCTGAGATTGTTACTCCAGGCAAGCCACCAAATGATAAAGTCATAAAGATCAAAAAGGAACTAAATGTACGTAAAGGCCAACAAACTTGCTAAACTTAAAATGTTTCAAAGTTCACACACGATTTGGACCACTCTTAGCGTCACTCGAAGAATATATTTTTCAAATCACTCGAAGTTGAAAAAGGATTGAAAATATCTACCAAAAGGAACATTAGAGAAAAGTAAGCAAGCCTATTTGAGGGTTGATCGAAAAATGCAAGAGGTAGTTACTGGAAGATTTGAACAAGTTAAATTACGAGGAGTTATATCTTTAACCCACATAAGGGACGTAATGGACAGCGGTTATGCGTCCACGATGAATTTACACAAAATTAACCGCTCTCGATGACCTTTATAAATAGCAAAAACAACTTCGTGTAAGAGGTCAAAAATTTCATACTTGCATTTTTGTAAGCACTCTCTGCGCATATGGCTTCCGTGCATAGGATTGCTGTTGGGTATGGTTTCTTGGCCACAATTTGTTTTCTTTTCATAGAATTAGTGTGGTTTAACTTAAATTCTGTAGTTCGTAGTTTGTTGCTCTTAAAATCATCATTTTGTAACTCAACAATTATGTGAAGTGAACCGTAATTTGTATTGCTAATATATATATATTGTTCACTCCATTCATTTAAATGTTTATATGGGCGAAAATTGTTATTTCATAATCGTATATAAAACTTTGGAAACCAATGCTTGTTAATTACTCTGTTTCATCTATTTCCGTTCTTAAGAAAGTTTGATTGTAAAATACTTAAATTGAAACGAATGTGTGCAATTCAAATAAAAAGAACTCATAAACCAATTTCACCACAAACAACCACAAGTAAAACCACAAGTAAAAAAATAAATGAGTCCATACACGAGAACATGTTTGATACACTAGTACGGATCGGTATTGTTGTTCATGTGACTCAACAGCACTTGCCTTAGGTTTTTCACCAAATCATTCACCGTCATCCCGTACGCGTCACCCATCTGCAAGACAACATATTCAACTTGTCACAATTGCCCATGGGTCGGGTGTTGGAGAATAAAGTCCTACATTCGACACTAGAAATTATTTGGATCAACTCTTGGCATGTGAAAGTGTGGTCATAGCTAGATAGATATAATAATTATGCGTTTAGATTTGCGGTAAAAAGATTAATTTACTTGAATAAGACAATGCACATATTCATTTTTTTATGGAACATACTAAAATGTATAATGTTGATGTAGAAAATGAAAGTCAAGTACCTGAGCGATGATAGTAATGCCAAGAGTTGAATTCCCAAAGGGCATTATGCTGCTGGCGGTGACAGACAGATCAAGATTTTCAAGTTGGTCCAATATTTTGAGCTGAACCCCATCTTCTTTCTCACAATGGATCTCAATGAGTACTTCATTCTCCATCACTCTTGCTTCAACATCGGGGAGCATTTCGCTTGCTCTACTATAACTATCCTCAGAATTTGTTTCACCTGAGGTAGTAATAGTATCTTCATTTACACACGGACTAGTCTTCTTCAGGATTATCATTGATTCTTTCACTCTATTGTTTCTCTCTTCTAGCTCCGTCACACGTTCTTGAAGTTGTTTCACATAATTAATTGCCTCGCAAAGTATAGAACTCTTGTCCGTCTATTCACAAAAATATTTCACCACAACACGAGCACTGTTAGTATCGAGGATAAAAAGCTTTTCAAAGGTCAATTTTATTTTTTAAAAAGGTGATATTATATAATATAAATTACATATTTCAGTGTGTTTTCATCTTTCATTATTCAGTTTGTTTTTAAAGGGTAGTATGTACTATCTAGCTCGTCTCTCAAGGTGATGTTAATTATTTACAATTCTACTTTTTTTTTGGCTTTATTGTTGTTTTTTTTCATCTGTGTACATGTATAATGTATTGTCTCGAAAATTTCAAGATCACAATACATCGCTGGAGCCTGCAGCACAGCTCATCGATGCTTGTGAAGATCAAGATTTGCTTGTGAAGATCAAGATTATGAGGATGGAAAGAATTACAACAACATCCTCATAAATAAAAAAAAAAATAATAATAAAATACAATCTCTAAATAGGATTGCACTATTCCAGTTAAAAACATATTAACAAGTTTGTTTTTTATACTTTTACTACTTTATAGAGTATTATTTGGCATTTTCCCAGTGAGAAATTACCTTCTTCAAACCAGGAATAGTTGCTGAAAGTGCTATGAACCTCTCGGTGAGTTGTTGTCTCCTTTTCCTTTCTGCCATTATGTGATCCAGAGTCTGCGAGCCAGTTCTACCCCTCTTGCCTTGTTTTGGTTTTTTGGAGGCCAAATTGGAATTGCGTGTTCCTCCATGGCAATTATTAGCATGGAGTTGGAGTTCAGGTGTTGCGGGTATTATGGTAGAGTTATCGAAAGACAAAATGTATGCCCTGGAGCTGGAGCTGGACCTGGGGGCCCTTTTCCCAGGCCCAACAGTAACCGTCTCATCCGAGGATAAACTGCTTCCGTCTCCGCCAACCCTCTTCTCAACAAAAGGTTGACTTTCACTCTCCGATGATAAAGCCGGTTGACTCAGAATCTCTCTCAGGAACTCTTCCTCCTCCACCTCGCTCAGCCACTCCTCTAACAGATCCCTATCATATTCCATTTCCTATATAACACACAATCATTTCAAAACAAATTAAACAATCGCTATCATCATTCTACACATATCAGTATGATCATAGCTAGAGCTAGTGTTATTACCATGTCAAGAGCCCAATTTTCCCATGATTCCTCCATTCGATTCTATGCGCCAGGAACAAGAACCACAACACCCCAACTGCCTTAAACACCCTGCCCATTAAATAACAACAACTATTATATACCAATTCTTTTTTCACCAAGATAAATACTTATCACTTCACACTTTTTTCTAATATTATCTTTCAATTTAATGTCTTTTATGTAATGTATATAGATACTTCCTACTACTATATGATTATAAAAAAAAAATATATATATATATATATATATATAAATGTTTAGATTTGGTAGATAGACATTAAGTGTTTGGGTGGTTGTATTAAATACCAATTCAATGTTTGCATTTGTACATAAGTTGTTTGGCATGTGTAATAAATGAAAAATTTTAACGATAAACTTATACCTATCTTAATAATTTATTTTTCTATACTAATAACAAAAATAAAAAAACTTTATTTGGTGTTTATTTTTATCGTTGTTATTTTACACTTAATAACTATACATATTTTTTAATAAAAATTATTATAAGAAATTTATTATTATTATTTTACAAGAAATTAAATAATAGAGTATTAGTATTCCTTAACGAATTTAGAAACATTTGTTTAAAAAGTGATGTGGAGAGTGGACGGTGAGGGAGAGAGGAGAGAAGAGAGAAAAGGAAGAGGCATACACATACTCGTTTAACATGCTGTTTTTATTTGGAGCCGTTGGATGAGGGATGAGGGATGATGCATATGTGAACGCAAGATGATCATGTAATGTAGTACAACATGGATGCCAAGTGCCAACTCATATGACATATGACTGGCAACCTCCTGCAGGGGGAACTGTACTACAGTAGTAATAGTAACTATTAACATCGGGGTCCCAACTCCCAATCCCATAATGATTTTTTACAAACATACATAAAAGATAAAACACATTAAATAATAAATACTACATAATATCACTGAAAATAAGTAAAAAAGAATGATCTCGTTAGCTACCTATATTGCCTTGCCTTGCCATGTTCAATTTCACACACTAACCCTTACTTACTATGCTTTATTGTCCTTTTCAATAATTACACACCTAATTATTGCCCACTTCTAACCAAACTCTGCTTTTTTCTCCAGCGTTTCATAAATCAAGCATGTGAACTAATCCAATTGGCTTTCAAGGTTCAATCATTCAATTATTATTGAACTCTACTGTAGTCCAACCATTATTATTAATATAATCAAATAAATTATTACTATTTTATAAGTTCTCAACAATCAAAATATAAATAAGAATTCAAATCAATATATCATTATCTTATGTTTAAATTTTAATATAATACATCATTTTCATTAACAATAATAGGTTTATATATAAAATAATAAAATAAAAATTAATATAATATGAAATTATAAGAAATTAACATATAAAAAATTGTAAATTTTTAATATTATAAAATATTTCATAAAATAGTAATATTAATAATAATTATTATTATTGAAAATAATTTTTTTTATATTTGTAATCATTATTAATGTAAAAGTGTTATTAAAATTTCTTTTAATTTCATAACTAAATCAATTTTTTTTATTTATCATATTTTATTTAAAAATTAAAATTTAATTTTTCAAAATTAAATACCCAATAATTAAAAATAATCTTATATCACAATATAAATTTTTTATCTTAAATCAGATATATAGTTTATATGTGTAAAGTAATTTTTTATACAAATTTTAAATATAATTTATATTTCTATGTCTAATATTTATTTATATATATAATTTATTATAAAATTTAGTTATATATAATAAATATTTAATATGTATATTTCAGATAAAATAAATAAATTACAAGGTTAAACTGGTTTTCGAAACTGACTTTGGACTTTAATCGATTATTGAATGATTCCCACTAGTTTGAAATGCTCCAATTTTATAAATGAATAATCGCACCCAAATCAAAGTTTGGGCTCTCAATAAATTAAAAACAATTATCATTTGTGAAATTTCAAACAAATTAACATGCGAGAGACAAATACATTGATGGGGTGTATATGATTTATAACCAACAAATATACTCAAATATTATAAATTAGTAAAATCAATTGTTGATTATTATGTATATTTTTTGTATTCCCATATATATATATATATATATATATATATATATATATATATATATATATATTTGTGTGTGTTTAAATATGTTTTTAATCTCTTAAATTTAAGATAAATTTGTTTTTATTTATCAAATTTAAAATTATTGTTTTTAATCCTGTAATTTTCAAAAATTTTATTTTACTTTCTCAAGTCACTAATAATATATTTGAAAGTAACAAATTAAGACGATTATACAATATCAATTAGGTTTAATGTGATATTTTCATCAACAGAGATACCACTAGATAAATTTTATGCAATAATATTTGAAAATTTTTTTAACAAAATTTCAATATAAAGACTAAAATAAGATTTTTGAAATTATAGAGACTAAAGACATTAATTTTAAATTTGAGAGACAAAAAACAAATTTAACCTAAATTTGAGGGATTAAAAACATATTTAAGTTTATATATATATATATATATATATATATAGTGACGGATCCAGAAATTTTAGATAGTGGGGACACTACTTATTTATATATTAATAATATTAAAAATTTTATATATAATTTTTAAAAGTATAAATATATATTATAATTATTTTTTACAAGCTTTTATAATTATAATTATGATTAAGGATGAAAATAAGTTAGATTAGACTATATTATATTATAATTTAGTAGGTATGGACTTAACTTTCTTTTTTTTTTTAAAAAAATACATATCTTAAAAATGAATTTTTTTTAGGAAAAAAATGACTTATTTATTTATCATAGATATTTTTTATATATTTCATTAAAACTACAATCCTAAAAATATAGTTTATAACAATTTAATACTAATAAAAATATAAAAAATAAATATATTAAATTGTATAAAAATCAAGTTTAATTTATTTATAATATAAACATGTTTTTAATATATAATATAATATTTTAGATGATAATTTATTTTAAAACATATTTTATAATAAAAATTTTAAATAGAGCATAAATCTTCCAATCTTT